ATGTCCACACAGAGCCTGTAAACTCAGTGTTTTGTAGCCTCCTTAAGTATAACACAAACCATTAAAGATAATTTCCACCAAGCACTGGGAAGCTGTTGAATCAATTATAACATGCCTCATTCTAGTTTTCCCAAACATGGATAATAGAGGGATGAAAAGTTGATGTTACAATCGAATCATTCTGCTACCAATTTAGCAACTAAWGCTTTGTAAAAGGAAGTGAAATTCAGCCTCTCCATTTTTGGAGGAAGCAGCTTTTACCTCTTTACATATTGCTAAAACATATTTTAACATCTATAAATTGATGTATAATGATAGCCATAGGGAGGTTAGTGGAGTGTTGTTATTTTTAATACAAGAAGCTACTGCAAGTCTTCTAGTCAGAACTATATTGATCCCTTTTCCTACAAACCAAATGCCTTATTCATCTGCTCCAAGTTATTTTTTCTAGCCATTTGTCATTTACATAACACTGAGGAACCAGTCTTGGGAATGTCCTAAACTACAGAAAGCGTCTCTAATAATTTTTGACACAGGAGATTTSATGGAGAAATCCTTATATTCATCAGCTGCAGATTCATTGCACTTTCTGTTTGGTTAGCCATTTCCTAGTGGAACACTGGTATTTTATTTGGCTTGCAACAGCTTCTAGTACAGGAGAACAGGAGTTGTATTCTTGAACCTGGCTATTGGGAAAAAAATCTGTACTTATTTTTCCTGTGTATGTGTGTGCACGGGTGCGTGTGAATGTGCATGTACACAGATATGCAGGTATTTTGATTAAAAATGCAGTTGCAAGTTCTATCTGATGTGCCCGTGTTCATTAAAAACAAAAAAAAATCTTCCCAGGTCTACTATCAGCATTATCCCTCTATACATTTAAATAATTTTATTTAAATCATTTTTGTTTTCTCTCTTTCTGTGTGTGAAGAGATGAAGTTTCATTCAAATATGATACTTGATTATATACATCCAGTTGCTRTATTACTTGTTGCTTCCTATATTCTCCACAGTTATATGCATAGATAGTTCTTTAAAAAGAGAAAAAAACAATCTGCCTAACTTGTCATGCCTCTCATGCTGTCCTAAAATATGAGCTTCACTAAAACAAGAAAAAGTTCTCCGCCTAGCATTTTATGTTTGTCCCTTCGTGTGATTATTTTCCCTTCCATAGAGTGTTTCTCAGGAGGAAATAAGGAAAGGAAACATAAAATCACCGTCACATAATGGTTGGGGTTGGAGGGGACTTCTAGAGATCATCTAATCCAATCACCCTGCTCAAGCAGGGTCACCTAGAGCACGTGGCACAGGAYAGCATACAGGCAGGTTTTGAAGATCTCCAAAGAAGGAGACATTCTCAACCTTTCTGGGCAGTCTGTTCCAGGGCTCTGTCACCCTCACAGGAAAGTTCTTCCTTATACACAGATAGAACTTCCTGTGTTTCAATTTGTACCCATTGCCCCTTGTCCTATCACTGGCCATCACTGAGAAGAGCTTGGCCCCTTCTTCCCTACACTCCCTTCAGGTACTTGTACATATTAATCAGATCCCCTCTCAACCTTCTCTTCTCCAGAGAAAACAGGCCCACTCAGTCTTTCTTCGTACAAAAGATGCTCTGGTCCCTTAATCATCTTTGTCACTCTCTGCTGGACCCTCTCRAGAAGCTCCACATCCCTCATACTGGGGAGCCCAGAACTGCACACAGTACTCCAGGTGCGGCCTCACCAGAGCTGAGGAGAGGGGCAGGATCCCCTCCCTTGGCCTGCTGGCAACACTCCTCCTGATGCAGCCAGGATTCCATTGGCCTTCTTGGCCACAAGGGCACTGCTGACTCATGGTTAACTTGGTGTCAACCAGGACTCCCAGGTCCCTCTCTGCAGAGCTGCTCTCCAGCAGGTCGACCCCTAATCTGTCCTGGTGCCTGGGGTTTTTCCTCCCCATGTGCAGGACCCTGCACTTGTCCTTGTTGAACCTCATGAGGTTCCTCTCTGCCCAACTCTCCAGCCTGTCCAGGTCCCTCTGGATGGCAGCACAGCCCTCCGGAGTGTCAGCCACTCCACCCAGCCTGGTGTCATCTGCAAACTTGCTCRGGGTGCTCTCTGTCCCTTCATCTACAGAATCACAGAATCATTAAGGTTGGAAGGGACCTCYAGAGGTCATCCAGTCCAATCCCCCCTGACCAGCAGGGACACCTAGAACATGTGGCACAGGGTGGCATCCAGGTGGGTTTTGAAGACCTCCAGAGAAGGAGACTCCACAGCCTCCGTGGGCAGCCTGTATTCATTCATATCCAATGAATGAGTTGAACAGCACCGGGCCCAGTACAGTCTGTGGGGGGATACCACTGGCCACAGGCCTCCAACTATACTTAGCACCATTTATCACAACCCTCTGAGWTCTGCCATCCAGATAGTTCTTGATCCACCCCAACTCAAAGGGGAACACATATTTGGATATACTTGCTTTCCTTCTCTTGTTTCATTGTCTCTGTTTCTTTTAACTGTTTGGCTGCAAATAAAATCTAGTTCCATTGTAGTAGGAATTCTCATGGAACTAAAATTTATACTGTGTATATCTTATTCCATCCATTTAAAAAGTTCCATTGCTACAGTTATCTGTTTTGCTAATATAAACACCAGAACAATTTGGTCAGCCAGTATAAAGGGTATGGAGATAGCAAAAAAAAAATGTAATTCAAGGATTTTGATGAAAGCAGGTATTTACAGAAAACTAATCCTGCTATGAGGACATACTTCAACGCTTCAAAAACTTTACAGGAGTAGGGGTATGACACTGCTAATACTTGTTGGAAACACTGGCAGTAGATGGCTTAAAAATCTTAGTAGAGAACTCAATCACATAGATCTCCAAATGCCCATTCTTCTCCATACAGTTCATGGAATCATAGAATCATAGAATGCTAGAATCATAGAAGGTTGGAAGGCATCTTTAGAGATCATCTAGTCCAACCCCCCAATATATGTTCCTTATATCCTTTCCCTTTATAGTCTAGGAAGCCAGATATGTTTGCTTCCTGGGTCAAAGTGATCCAAAAAGGGAAAGTCTGGTTCCCGGTTCATGTGTGTGTGTGTGTTCATTTTTATGTTTGTGGAAATTCTCTTTTTTCCACTCTAACATGAAGAAAAATAATATCTAACCAAACTGGAATTGTCTCTCTCCCATAGCCCAATTCTAATCCCAGGCTATTTGACAGAGCATTTCACTAGTAGAGTTTAATTTTCAGTACCATTTTTCCTTAGTGAGAACTGCCTTCTAACCAAACATTAYAAATGAACCTTATTTTGAGTCCCTAGGAAATGCACTGTATCATTCGCTTTCTGTCAGATTAGCTTCTGTTACTTGGTATCTCCTGTGCAAAACACAGAGGAGATTTCACCAGTTATAAACTTTTCTTATCTTTAAGTACTTTGCACGAATTTCAGATTCCCCCTGGATCTTCAAGCGTTAACTTTTTCAAATTGTTTTATTCTTCAACCTCTCATTTTCATAGCTGATTTTCCACCTATTTTTAAACACATAATTTATGTTTAAATGACTAAGTGGGGCTACTAGTCTTTAGATATGATAGTATCCTTTAAAAATATTCTTCAAAATCCTTTGCTTTAATCTAAAAATATAGATACTGAACTTTCCAGACTACTCTGGATCACTACTGGATTAAAAACTGTTGTTATTTCAGCTATAGCCACTTTTCCCCTTTTCTKTTAAAAAATATGCAGCCATCAGGTAGAAAGGAAAAAACATATCTCAATGCTTATATTGTGTAGTCTTCATTCAGGCTAATGGGACTAGCCTCAGTTATTTTTTTTTATTATTTCAGAAATCCCTGAACCACTTTCCATTCCCACATGCATCCTTTTGCTGCATAAAATTAATGATGTGGCAGAAGAAAGATTTCATGAAGAAGGGAAATGTTTTGTCTCCTGATTTCTTGAAACTGGAAGCACTTACAACACTTGATATATCACACTTTTTAAATCAAATGAAAGAAGGGGACTTCTGGGGGGAATAATTGCATTGTTAAGGAAAGTTTTCCTTCTGCCTTATATTATAGCAGAAATTCTCAAGACTGAAGGTTACAAGGAGATAGTAAGATACATCTTTATATTCACCTAGTTCTGAATCTGTCTTTCCTTATACCCGTTACTTGCTCTAGAAAGCTTACAGTTTACCAAGAAACTATTTCCTTGATCTCCTATTGGATGCTCAGGACACTAAAAATTATTATGGGAAGTTTTCCTGAAATTAGGTAGCAAAAGAAAAGAGAAAAAATGTCACCTGCCTACTACCACATAGCACCTTCATCTTTCTCTCCAGATACTCTGATTACTTTGCTAATCAGCTTCTAGGCATCTACTCTGATAAGAGCAAGTGACTACCTCCTGCCCCAGTGCCACATTATTTCCTTTCACAAAGAACTGTAGGAAGTAAGCAATGACTCCTTGGCATTGGGCTGCTGACAAGGTACTGATAGTATCCAAGAAGAGGAATGGGAGAAATCCCTAAACTAAGATTACAAGAAAAAAGMAAACCTTTGTAGGAAGAACATGAAAATATTATCTGTCGTGCAGGGTTTAAYGTATACAAAGCAGCGTAGTTTCAATTAGCGTCTATTTATAGGCCTTTCTGATGACACTATAAAACATAGTGCTTTAAAATATAAAATAATAAGATATTAAAGCAGCCTAGATTTGCTGTGGCATCGAACATTTGCTGAGCCCATCTAAGCAATCAAGGCCTCATAGCTACCAGCTATAAWAACCTAAACCAGCAACACCTCTAAGATACAACATGGGCCCTCTAACTTACGCTAGCTGGTTTGGGAATTGGCCCGTCAGCAAGTGAGCAGCCAAGATTTCATGAGAAGTGCTTCAGCTGTGCTGTGCTCTCCTCCCCTCCTTGCCTCTTCCTCAATCTATACTTCCACTTTTAGAAGAGATGTTAGAGGCAAGAATATGTAAGACACCTAAAGAGTTCTCCAGAAGTTACTTGTGATATCCTTCAGATTAGGGAAATCCTGAGGTAAGAATCTGCCTGAGTGTGTCTTTAAGAGATAAATAAATTGCGTAAATATTTTAATTCTGTCCTTAGCATAGCTTCTTTTCCCCATCTCCCTTTGTTCCTTTCTCCTTCCCTACCTCTTTCCTCTTCTTTCAGTGTCTCACTCTTCTAAGATCTATTTAATTACGCCCATAGAAAAGAAAATGCTGATATCAAAAGAGCAATTCCCTCTTTTGATTTCCAATTCATTTTCCACTCTCATTCAGGAGAAYAGAAATATACAAAGTAATTTGGTATATAAAATGATTCCCCATAATTTTAATCCTTTTAAAGTGCTTGTGGAGATTATCATGGTTTGATTTATTTTGACAAGGGGTGGTAAAAATTGTAAGAACAATAGTCTACTAAAAATGTTTTAAGAGCCTGTTGCTGTGTTACAGGAATGAACATTTCAGGTGTTCATCAGTTCGGGGGGATGATTTCCTAATGGAACTAAGTGAATTAAAGTAATACAAGGACATGCTTTCACAGTAAATAGAAATGGACACCTTTTTACTAATACTTGAGGATTTTTCAGCAGTACAGCCACCACATTTTTCTACTTTTCCTCATTTTATTGGATTTCTCTTGCTTTTCACAGGTCAGGCAACTAGATGTCTGAGTTGCAAGGGAATCCTGGAATTCCAAAATTATTGCGGCTCAAGGACTGCTCTAACAAGAGTTTATGAGAGACTGTTACATTCAACAAATAACCCATTCCCCACAGTAAAATTGGAGAGTAGGAAAACCAAGAGTCTTACACACTCTTACATRACCTGCACCACCTCCCTTGTCTCCTGGCTTCTCTCTTTCTCTGTTGAAATTGCATCTGGACTCCGTTTTGGATTGGGCCAAGTAACTCATGATACTGGGCTAAGTAGCATGATGGCCATGAGATATGTGAAAAAGACATATCTCATGATATGTCTATGAAAAAGACATATTCTGTGAGTGGGACCCCATACCTAGTTAAAATCCTGGTCTTGCAGAGCGGGAGTGTGTCTCACCTCGTGATGCACAGCTCATCCATCACCAGTGTGAAGACATACTGCTCCACAACATAGACACAATTGTTAGGCCTGATCCATCAGGAATAGGAAAACAATTGGGGAAGAGGCTGTGGCAGCTAGAGTATGTGCAATGTCACAGAGAACTGTATTCAAAACAACTCCGTGCCCCCTCTTCTTCCATCACTGCAGCCAAACACACACACTCTTCCCACTGTGAAGTGGCCTGCTTCACCCAGCTCTCCCATGGCCCACATGCCTGCAATTTTACCCTGGAAGAGGAAAATCATGAAAATTGAGAAGGGTATTTCTGTAAGGTCAATAACTCAATCACTCCTAAGCAGATGACTTAATARCTTATTTATTGTATTATTGTGTTGCTTTTTTTTTCAGGAAGTTACATGCTAATATCCCTTATCTTAAGACTATAATACTTTAAGGTTTCTTCCCATTTTTATGTATAGTCTTGCAGTGTTACATCTCACTCATACAGGGAATTATTGTAGTGCATGTTTTAAACTTCCACAGTAATACAGAATTGCAATAAGCACTGAAAAGAGAAGGCTTCATGAATATATCTCTTCTATGCCTTTCCATTGCCTTCAGAAGTATGCCMCACTTTGCCCCACTTTGTAACAGATGCCCCACTTTGTAATAACTTATAAAGGGTCAAATTCTCACTTGTGCTATCCTGAAATACTCTTATTTAAGATGTAATATCACCCTACTGCAAAAAAGTATTAAAGTAAAAAGTAGGAGGATTAAACATGAAGTGTTCGCAAAATTTATGTCCCCTTGTCCTGGGTTGTGTTTATAATTTTGGATCTAAATTTTGTTCATTGATGACACTTGGGGTTATCAGGGCTCTTGAGATATATAGTGTTCTGATTAAACCAGAGCTTTCAGAAAATACCATTTCTAGAAAACTAGAATACTGGGGATGCCACTGGAAGAGCTTAAGTTTATGAAATGTCTAACATACAGATTTCAGCGTCTAGTTGGCAGGAATCATAAGATCTTTACAACAAATAAATACATATTGCAAACTATTTCAGAGAAATAATAGTCTTTACAATTGCATTAAAACGCCAGAAAAAATGAGAAGAGGAAGAGGGTGAATAATAGAGCAGGTAAATGACTGATCTTTCTGTGCGGTTTTCACTTGAGCACAAGAAGAATGATTACATCCCTACAGCAGTCTTCAAAGTGTTGGAGTCAGAGAGTGGAATAGGAAATGAACTGCAGTTCAGTGACCCTCTGTGGCCTGAACAGTGGGAGCTAGTAAGCACAGCATTTTCACTTTATTCTCTTCTCTTTTCTTTTTTTTTTTAACCACTGTCAGTAGAAGGCCTTCCCCACACACACTTTTGCATCATTATTTTACCTTGAAAAGAATTAAATTTAGTTGATATATCTATGTATAGGCACATATAATCWGTAAAAGTAATATCACTGCCATACATACACACAGGCTTATTACACGTGTATGGTACAATGAATAACAATGTTTTCCTTGGGAAAGCCTGTTTTCTGATATGAAATAGTATACATCTGTGCCATGCAATTTTCTTTGTTTTTCATTAGTGATAAAACTATGAGTTGGTCACCTAGGTCTGTTTGAAGATATAAAGTGCAGCTTTCAACCTGGTTTGTAATTTTCTCTCTAATGCAGGCGCTTTGTCACAGCACATTGGCAAAATATTCTAGCATCTAGCCTCTAGAAAAGAGAAACAAACAAACATAAATATAGCCATAGTGTCATAGTGTGATGYCACTTAAGAGATACTTGACCTTGTCGTCTTGATCTATTCTCATGCTATATGTAGGAAGGGCAATCTAATTTTTAATAAAAGGTTTCATTCTAACATCATTGTTCATAAAATGACACCTATGTATTGGTATGATAAATTTGCATGTAAACATATGCAGAAAGTTATCATGTAAGGTGTTACAGTTTATATACCATTGTAAACAAGCCAGAAGACTACTGGTGATCCAAGTGAGATTAGTCTTTGTTTTTTGTTTGTAACTGAAGATCCCTTGATCTTTGAAAAGGAGTTAAGATTTTTCAGTGCATTTGTTTTAAGAAAGAACATCTTTAATAGTATCCAGATTTACTAAACCTTTTACAGAGATTTAGAAGCAGCTGAGATAAAATTATCATTTAAGTGTATTGGGAAATAGAGGGATGAAGTAACCATTTTTTTTCCAGCAGATTACAATAGCTAATCTTCTTTTCATTCAGAAGATATGACTGGGTAAATTATCGAAGATTGTTTGTCAGGGAAAAAATTAGAAGTCAAACCTGTAGTCAGATTTTTGTCTTTATGATGTGAAGTAATTCCTCAGCCCTCTGAATTCTCTTGGAACCTCTATTCTATGCAACTTCATAGTTGGGTCTTGGACTTGGAAACAGTTATTTTTGCCATCATTGTATTTAATAAAAAGCTAGAGGAGGAGCTTTGTGTTAAGTAAAGGGCTATGAGGTATGCTTTCAGACAAACCCAAATTAATATTAGGAAGTCAGTATAAAGAAGTGGGGTGTGCGGCCCATACTGCTGGTGTAATAACGTTTACTAACAATTGTAATATTACTGTACTTAGTGCTATTTTCCTCCATCATCATTAAACAAGTATGAGGAAATAAGATCTATTTTAGTTCCTTTTTTTTTTTTTTAATCAAAATTATTGATTAAAAATCTTCATAGCATCTCTTGATCATGTCGTGAAGTGGGAGTCAAAAAAACCCAAAAGTAGTATACCTGTTTTTTACAAAATATTTCTGAGACATGGAAAGAAAAACCATTGTTTTATAAGCCTATCAGAATTCTGTTAAAGTCTTACATAATTTTACAATGTTCTCAAGCTATACTTTTCTTTCTACTATTCCATTTTTATCTGAAGACTAGATACATATTTGAAAAGAGGCATGCAAAGAACATGAAATTTCAGTCTAGCAGTCTGTGTTTTTGGAAACTCATTTTAATTGAAGGTTTGTCTATTTTCATATGGTTTTCACTTTAAATCCTCTGTAGTTTTACAAGAATCTAACTCTTCATTTCTCTTACATTTTAAATCTGCATTTTACAAAAGAAATGCCTAATATAGTACTCCCGAGAACCCAACAAAGCAGCTSCTAAATGAATAATTAAGAGGTGAATTAATGTTTTTATGATTCAAAATCTGGGAATATAAATGGAGGAATGTTGCGTCATCATGTGGGCTGCAAAGAGAATAAAGGGCTATGTTAAACGAACACTGAAAATAGAAACCTTGCCTTTTGCTCTGTAGTTCCTTGTTGAAGCCGATCTCTTGACAATTACGCTTGACTATATCCAAATCTCCTCACCAGAGCCTTCTTTTCCTCAGTTGAGGCACCCGAATTCACATCCTATAATTAAATAATCAGACCTTTCTCCCTATACTCATCATTTGCCAGGCCCATGGTTACTACTGAAACTGGTCAACAACATGGCCATACTAAAATCCCTAGGTCCTACACAGTTTACTTAGAGTTATAGGTGTGAAGAGTAATTCAGTCCCTCCCTGCATGTTGTGATCAAGGCCTTAGATCATTTCTTGCACTAGGCTCACACTGCATCTAAAATGATCTTCAAGGACTCCTGCAGGCTTCAAAGAAACAGATTTTGTTTATCATTTTAGCAGAGCAGCTTTGCTAAAGAACAGCTCTGCAGCTTTGGAGCATGGTACTCTTTAAAATAAATGGAAAATGTAGAAACTGTGTCCTTGCTTCATAAATTTCATTCTGTCTGAACTCCTGATGTGTGTTCACACCAGTGGGCTCTGCCTGTTATTCCTGCACATCCAAAAGCTCCAGCTGACAGAGTCTTTTTATAGGCAGTTTTCTCCTATGGACACTTACTACCTCATTCAAAAGACCAATTCAGTGTATCACGGAGCATACCTTTTATGTAAAGGTGAGAGGAACGTTATTGTACCTGTTGATCATAAAGAAAAATAAGCAGCTGGATCTGGAGAGGTTGAAAGCACTTAATCTGATCACAGTTTATCCTAAAAAGCGGGAAAAATAACATTCTACTCTCTTTGTGTCGCCCATAAATAATTCTAAAAAGTGATGTCAACTTGTAGTGATAGGAGTGTTTTAGCCTGCTCCATAGGAACTCCATTCCAACAGTCTCCAGAGTGCTTTAACGACAAGACCAAAGGTTATATGGACTGTAGTGTCTGCATTACCTAGCAAAGCTTGGGACCTCATAAGATGYTCAATGGCAAGTTTATTTCTTCTTTATGCATGACAGTTTAGCAGAAGATTGATCGACAAGGTGCTTACATGAGCATACACAACACAGGAAGGTCAGGGCTCAATATGTAAGAAAATGCATATATTCTTTGTACTTAATGTCTGTATTCCTCCTCAGTTTTACTTTGGCTAACACAGTTGTACATTTTAGGAATCTCTCTTGTCTTTACAGTGTTGAAGGTGTCTGTCCTTAATTTCACCACTACTTTGTTKTAAGTCCCTCGCACCCTTTAGTCCTGACTCTAGTAAAAGAGTTTGGGTCACTGCCTTATCAGGTACATGTTTCTTGCTTCCCTACAGGGGGGCCTTACATCAAAAAATTCTACTTTTGGTTTACTGGTGTTGGAATTTGGCCTACCGTGGCCTCTGCTAGTGTGTTTGACCTGTGATTCAAACTCCTCTACTTCAGGTGCATAGCATGTGTCCAT